CATATTTATTTGTTTCTGCAATTGTCCTTATGGTGCCCAAACCTCTGGCATCTGAAACATTGAAGTGGGTTTGGTATGTTCTTTTGTATTTTGTATCCAATCTTTATAGAGTGTTGAAAGTTAGGATCTAGATGTTGGTATTTATTTAATCTCCATTTTTCCTTATGATTCTTCTGGCATCAGTGATACTTTGATTTTCTAATTCTAACTTTATTTCTTCTATGGTGCACAGGGAAAATTCTGTTTTTTATTACTCCCTTTGAAAAATTTAAGGTTTGGTGGGAGTAGGTTTTAATATCAGTTTCATGGAATTTTTTCATTTGTAGTAAGTTGTCTGCATACTTTAAAAAAAATATCAACCTTTACAAGTAGTATTCCATGTAGGCATTTTTTGACAATTTTTGGTATGATTTTCTTATAGAGCACTTTCTGGATCAAGACTGGGGACATTTCGGTCAATGGTTTATTGTTAATTGCTTCAAGAACAATAAATTGGAAGTTTTCACTGTCATACTTGGTCTCTGAATATGGAGTCTCTTAGATGGTTTTCTTTTGGGACATAGTTTTTAATTTGTTTCATCATTCATGCTCCCTACCCAATTCACAGCCATGCTTATCTTCCAAATTGATTGAGCCTCAACAACCACTTTCTATCATATATTTGGTGGGGGGGTATTAGTGGTAGGCTGTGGGGAAGTGTGAGCTGTTAGTTGTAGGTTTGGTATAGGTTATTTATGATGGAGCTTAGCATGACCAGCCAATTGATCAGGTTGGGCCTCTCTGACCAGCCAAAGTGAAGTGTTGCAGCTAAAGTTCCATAGTCATCAGCTGCTCAGTCACCAGGATTCCATCCTCAGATATCATGGGTCACCATCCACAGCAAACAGGTGGCTCCTTTGGGGGGCATCTACCACCTGCAGAGGTGCATTTGGCATATTACATAGCCCCAAACAACAGGACATGAAAAGAATGATTTTATTGATTTTGAGAAATATATTATCAGAGGTCATGTGAAAGGCTTCAACCCACAAGGTTCAAAAGCAGAAGTTGATTTATGTTGGCTTAATTAAAGTGGAAGTCACAAAAAATATCTTATGACCACCAGATGGAAGAAGGGGTCAATTGAGTTATATTTGGTAATTTTGAAGATGAAGGCAGAATCAAGAAACTGATTTATGTCTGCCTGTCAAAGAGTGGAAATAGTTTTGCTGATTTTGGGAATGTAAACAAATTGAGAAATAGGATTTTCTCCTTCACTTGAACAAATTGAAATACAAAATGGATCTGTAGGTTCATGAGTACAATTAAGTGAAAAGATATGAAGACAAGTTTTGCTAATAGTGGGTCAGTGGAACAGCTGCTAAATGTCTTCTTGAATAAACAGGACCAGGGACTGAGAAAAGTTGTCAATAAAAATCAAGATAAATACAATTAATGATTAAAAGTAAGAACCTTTCTTTCACCCACTCGATTTAAAAATCAGATTTGTTAGAGAGAAACATCCAAAATGGTGGGCTTAGATGAAATACTAAGAGAGGAGGAGAAAGAAGGAGAAATTACCTTTTTCCATTTGGAAGTAATGGTGTGAGGCATGAATAAGAGAAGGAATGAGTTATAAGGATAGGGTGATACCTGCAACCATCACCAGTAGAGTGAATGGTTCACCCAAATTTGGAAAGATAATTAATATTGTAAAGCAGACAACAAAGAACTCTTGTTCAAATCAATACAAATACCTGGGGGATAACCAGATCCCCAAATACTGTCAGCCCCACTCCAGGCTTGGGTTGAAGTCAATATAAGCAGAGTGCTTAGGCAACCCAGAGAGAGATGAAAGACAAGCAGTGAAGAGCAGATGAAGGTTCTACTAAAATCCAAGTGACTTACTCTCAAGATAACCACTTACTTTGAGCCCTGTTCCATTAAATTAGCACCAATAGGCAAAGTGTCACTATAGAGATTTTAGTAGGAAGGGTTAATGTTGTTATACAAAGGACTACATAAGCCAAATCGAAAACTGAGCCAAAAAATCTTTCATTTTTATTTTGTCTGTGATGTTTTTTTTGTTTTTTTTTCCTTCATGACACAGATTTGCTGTGATTCAAACCAGCAATACAATTGCTGATGATACTTGATCTCCACTGCTTTGTGATCAAGAAACACAATGTGTGCAGAGCAAAGTGTGGATTGGGCTGGCCAGTGAGGAATGGCCCGTTGACCAGAAACAGTATCAACCAATGTGGTTACTGACCCTGGAATCAACTCATAGTCCTATGACACAGAGGACCAAGTCATCTTCTGGTATAGGTGGTGTGTGGCAAGAGTCATATCATCTGGTCACTGCTGACCATGTTCGAACCAGGATTGGCCAGAGTGTGTGTGTTATATACCTCTTTTTCTTTAAATTTAATTATTGCACATAGAGACAAATCTTTCCTGTTTGAATTTCCTAAGATGTCATCAGATTTTACTGAAAAACTGCTGTTTTAGGACAATGACAAAACTTATATAGCAAAGTAACTTTCAGAAAATAAAAATGTTAAATATTCTGTCTTCTGGAGAAGTCCTTGATTTTTGAGACCAGTATATTATTCCACAAAAAAAAAAAATTCATCCAAATTAATTACTATGAATGACTGTAAAATACACTTAAAATTATGCTTATGAATGATTGAAATAATGATTTTAGGTGCAAAGTATTAAAATAGTTTTCACTGCAAATCATATCTTAATAATTTGCACCCAAAATCATTATTTCAATCATTCATAAGCATATTTTTTTAAGTGCATTTTACAATCATTCATAGTAATTAATTTGGAGGAAAATCTTTTTTCTATTTTGGAAGATTATTTTCACTTATTTATTTTAATATATGAAGCACTGTCAGCTATTAAAAAAAAGCCACGAGTCTAATATTGAATATTTATGTTGCATAAACTAAGCAGTGTGTATGGTTTCATTTTTACCAAGGATTTCATTTTACTATTAGATTCAGTCTGTAATAAATTTACGGATTGAATCACTGCCACTCACATAAAGATCCCTTTATGTGCGTCTTGAATTAAATAACTACTCAACAGAAAAAACCTAGGGCTAATGGCAATAATATAAGGGGGCACCATATGCATAGAATATCAAATAACTGATGAAAACAGAGTTATTTCCCTTGAACAATTTCAAAATTTTGACGTGTACAACAGTAGGTTTGTTTTTTTGTATTCGTTTTTTGTTCACCTAATACAAATCCCAATTCAGTGTAGCAGGTTATTGAACGTGGTTGTTGTGTGAGCATAAGAGGGGGAAGTAAGAGTAGATTATGAAGATATATAAATAATAGGTACCTCCAAAGATTTGCTAAAAAAAATGTGTAGACATAATGAAAAAAAATGCCAAAAATTTAACAAGGTTAAATTGTCAAAATATTTATTAAGAAAAAAAGATTAAATGATTTTGTACACTGTGATATAGGAATTATATTTTTTTTAAATCCTTTTTAGAACCTTCAAAAGTCTGTTTAAAAATCTTTTGGGACCATAAATTAGTATGTGTTTTTGCATTGAAAAACACATTGATTTGAAAATTCTTGCAAAAATCAGATAATTGTTGAATTTTAATGAAACTTTCAGGATTTATTTATAAATTAATGAAATTATTTTTTTTATTTATTTATTTTTTTTTTTTTAAGAAAATCTTGGTAATTTTTTTTTTTTTTACATTTGTTACCTCCACCCTCTTATTTACTTTTATGAAATTTGAGAACATTTTTGTAGTGCTTAAAGTTTATATTAGTTTTATAACTAATATAAATTTTAAGCACTACAAAAAAGCCATTTAATTAAAAAAGCTTTTAATTACTTTTATGAATAAAATATATATATCTATGATCTTAAGAAATACGTTTTAGTAAAAAAAATTTTACAAGAATTGTTTTCATTTTTTTTTATTTTAATAAGAAAAATTCATAAACTTAAAAAATTCTGTATTATTTGTAGTGGTCAAGTGATATTGATATTAAATAAAATCTATAGTTACTAATCATGAATGGAAAAGCTTACTACAATTCAGTGAGTCCCAATATTTTAAAAAGAATTTTGTGTGTGTGTATGAACATGCCGATATTGTAAATAGGGACATCCATACACGACATTATCAGAAAATAAGTGTCATTACCATAATAAATTTAAAATTCATTGACAATTTTCTAACAATTCCTCAACAAGTATCTTCATAAGTAAGAAAGCCAAAGTGTGTAAAATTCAATAAAATATTTTAATTTTTTATGATTACTAGGTAGTTAAAAAATTTTCATAAAAAGGTTGCATTCATCATGTAAATTATGATTATCTCCTCCTTACTTAAATTGCCCAAACATTAGACTATCAATAGATGTGTCAACCTCATAAAAATACCCCACCTCTGTGTTTAAAAAAAAAAAAAAAAAAATGCTTTTTTGCATTATTTTAAACTAAGTAATATCTGTTTCAATTCAGATTAATTTTTCTTAAATGTTTCAGAAAAGTATTTTATTTTTGAAAGATTTTTTATAAAAGAATTATTTTGTGTTGACAGATTTGTCAATATGGATGATTTTATTTATTTTACCAATAATCAAAAAATAAATCCTTTCAATTAATTTAAATTTGGTTTGAAATACGGCAAAGAATTTTGCTTATTATGAATATTAAATTTAATCTTTCAGGTTGGAATTAAAACTAAAAGCTTCAAGAAAATTTTTCATTTTTAAAAATGCAATTCAAACATTAGGTTTCATTTTTTTTCTTTTTTTGGAGTCACCTAATATAGAGGATAAATAATGGTTGACTCTAGACAAGAAGAGATTAAGATTGTAGTGATTAGAGAAACATTCTCTCTGGAGTGTGTTCTATAAAGGAATGCTTCTCAGAAAGAAGCTATCAATCTGGAATTCCCTCCTTATCAATGGAATACGAAGGTAATGAGGATGATTTGACTCCAATGTCTACAATGATAGAAAACTTACGCAAGAGTTTTGTGTATTTCAGTAATTTGTTCTTCAATTTTTGGTGTCTGTTTCGGCAACATTTTGAATTGTGAGACATAACCAGGTGGGTGGTCTTGTATGTCATAATCACCCAGTTCAGCTGAAAGAAAATTATTTATAGATTAGTATTTTAAAAAATAAATAAAAACAAAATAAAAATTAAGTTGATTCTACATGAAAATCTTCAATTTGATCTACAATTGAAAATATCCAATATTTTTAAAGGTAAAACAAAAGATTATTTTTTTTATAGAAAAGTAATAAAAGAAAAAAGAACCAAGGTTTTAATAAACAATCAATCAAAGTAGATAATTTTTTCAATTATTTTATAATTATGACTCATCATAATATAAAGTTTGAAGATTTCCAAGCTAACTTCAAAAGTTTTAACAAGGAAATAGTTTAGCATTTGCTGACAATAGTTTTTCAACTATCCCCAGCCAAGAAGTTCCTGTAAACAAGGATTAAAATTTCAATAACATGTATTGATCGAGTGTGAAGAATATATATAGTTGTGTGGAAAGGTCATAAAATTGTTAATATACAGTTCTTTAGTTGCTGTTGGTAAGGGAAGTGATTAGGTATAAGGGTGTTGTCAGTAAGGCCAGGAGTTGACTAATTTGTTGAGTTGATTGACTGAAGTCACAATGGTGACAACAAGACAGGCCCGAGTGGATTTGTGAAGCCAAGTGGGGTGTCATTGGTGGAGTTGACATACGCCTTTCTTGACACTGGTGAGGTGTGTGAATGGGTTGACAGTAGTGTCATGAGTTCAAGATGTTTAGCTGAACTGCTTGTTGCTGAAGGGGTTGATTCATCATAAGGCCCAGTAATGTGTGTTGACAGATTGGTTGACCAAGTTGGTGGGTTGATTCATGGTAAAACCTGGTAAAGTGCGTTGGTGGATTGGTGGTAGTGACAAGGGAGGCCAAAAGTGGATAGCAAAGCCTGATCAAGTGGAATGTCTGTTAGATGATGGTCAAACTGGAGATCAATTCACCAGGGTCATGTGGTGACAAGGGTAGCCTGGAGTGTGATAGTAAAGTTTGATAGAGCAGAATGTCTCTGATCATCCATTCAATCAGAATCCAACAAATGGAAACAGGGACACTGTGGTGTTAGAAATCACAGTGGTGGCATTGGGATCCCACTGGTGTAGGAAGCTGGCTTGTCAGTGGAATTCTGTGTGAAGAGTTGGGTGAAATCAGGAATCTGGTTGCCATTGCACTGGATTGACTGAGGCCATGGTAGTGACAACGAGGACAAGCCATTGTCAACAGTTGGCCTGCTACTGTGTCGGTTGTTTATGAGGGGCTTTCTTTTAAGCAAATCTTTTGTCTTTTTTTGGCAACAATGTTCATGTTTGACTATTGTATTTTAGATTTTTGTGAGGATTTATTTTGTGGACCAGATGTGATACTCAGAGCCTCTGTGCAGAAGACAACTTTTTTATTTTGTTTTTCACTTTCTTAGCACTGACATCCGGCTGACATGTAGGGAATCAGAAAGAGATCTAATTGCAGCAGAGTATATGTCAACTACAGGTCAACTACAGCTGTTTAATTTATTCTTGAAATGAAAAACCAAAGTAAACACCTCTTAGACACATTTTTCCTTGAATTTACCTTATAACTTTAGTCAAGTTTAATGTACTAACCAGAGTTGATTTTTTCACATGTCTATGAAAACATGTCCATAAAAAAAATGGAAAAGACATTAATTGAATAAGAACTTAATAATGCACCCTTACTCCTATGGCTCAATATTCTATGCCTTTAACCTCTTGTAGTTCAATGTTGAAATGTGCATATGCAATCTTGAAATCAAATCTAATTTATTCTTCAGATATTTTTCGAATTATATATTAAAATTTTAGTTATTATAGAAGATCTTTTGACATAACTATTTTCACATGTTTGATAAATGAACTTGAGTTTTTACATCAAATGTTATAAGTATTTTCAAAATCTTTAAGAATTACATATAATTATTGTAGTTTGAATTATTTCTTTCATGCCTACAAATCAAAGAAAGTATATTATTTCAAGTAGCAACAAAGAAAAAAAAGGAAAAAAGAGAACAGCCATGAGAACCTGTATTCCAATTCATACACAACCTTATTTGCATGACGAACAATTTCAAGTTGGCTTTAAAATTCTTCAGTTCTTAATTTCAGCACAGAAATAATTCAAGTAATAGAATATACAACCAAATATCTCTAAATATACAACCAGAGAAACAATATTGTTTACAGATTCTATTGTGAAATAAAATCCCAATTAATATTTTCTGCATATAACTTTCTATTATAATATAGTGACTTTTTTTTTCAATATTAGCACTTCATTGGATTTGTTCCATCAACTAATATGGTTTTTTATAGTGTCTTACTCATCAATTGGTCAGCAAACATAGGAGACTCTTCTACAGGGTGATTGAAAATTAACTCCTTATTTTATGTATGATGGACTATCCAGTCTTGTAAAAATTATAGTGCTGTGGATCCCCATATTTTTATTCAAAAAGATACATTATTTTTCAAATTGAATACTAATATAAATACTGTTAATGTTGTTTTCAAACAAATGAAATTGATTTGTCTAAGTTCGTTAAACATTTTTCAAATTATTATTAATAAAAAGGTAAATAAACTTAAATTAAGATATATTTAAACATATTTAATTTAATCATTTTTTTAAAGCAAAAACTATAGCAAGCCTTACTTCTGCGAAAAATAATTATTTACTATTTATTTTGGGGGGAATTTAGATTTTTTTAAGTAAGTAAAGATCACATTAGTGAGTGATTATTTCTTTTTAAAGAAAGTGAAAGAAGCAAACATTTCTCCATAAATAAATTTAATTACTATTTTGAAAGAGAGTAGAAGTAAGATACATTGAGAATTTAATTTAAATTTCAAGTTATATTTGTATCTAAAAAGAAAAAAAAGCTTTAGTTAAATAAAAATTAGAAGAAACAGACATGAGTTACAGTCAATATGAACATTAGTTGTGTCGAATATTTGTTTTACAAATTTAACTACATTTTATTTAAATTAATTTTTAAAAAATAAGGCCCGTTATAGTTTTTTGCTTTAATAAAACTTAATTTAAAATTGCTTTTTATGTTAGTTACAAACAAAAAAAGAATGAAGTTTTTTAAAGATTGAATAAAAAAATTATTTTCCCTAAGATTGCCAAAAAATATTAATAAAATTAAATTTCTTCTTCTAAATTTACTTTGTGTTAACATTCATATTTTTTTTTTAAAGTTACACTTTTATTTACTATAGATACAGAATAAAATTCAAGAGAATAGAAATTTTAAAAATACACGTAGCGTTTCAAAATTACCAAAATTAAAAAGTAAAAATGAACGGAATAAGAATTATTTAACTTTTTAATTCTGAGAATTTAATATGCATTCTAATGCAATTATTACATAATTTTAAAATATCTTTGTAAATACAAAATTTATACAAAAATGCAGGTTGGGTGATACTGAGTCTGTATATATATTTATTTTGTCATGAATTATTGTAGTTTTTTTAGTTCTAGACTGACACACACACACAACTGCTCTTTATATATGTATTTTATTCAAGCAGAAGCTGAATACAAGTAAGGCATTTAACTCTAGTCACCTATCACAATAACCTGTAAGTAAAACAAGGATGGACTATGATTTGCCTTTATACAAGTAACAGTACACTAAAATATAGCTATGTCTATCTACCAGTAATCTTCCTCTGTAAGAAACATAAAATAACTAAATTATTGCAATGAACAATAATAAGACTGTGTTTAGAAATTAACTTTTCCCACTGAAGTTAACCTATAAGAATTTAAGTTAAATGCCACTGTATTTGTTGAATACTGGGCTTAAGAGACACTTCTAAAGCTAAATAGAATTGTTAAAATTGGCTAGATATATGTTCTATGATAACAGTTTCTACTCTTGCACTTCTCACTTGTGGAAATTTCTTCCAACTTCTTGTTTTCCAGTCAAATATGATGTTGAAAAATTTAAATGCAATATCAATCATTATCTTCTGTCTTTTTAATTCCTGTTATTTTATTGTTTTCTCTCCTTAATGTTATAAACAGGCATATAGTAGCATAGAAGAACAAACAAATCAACAGTACCAACAGTGAGGCAAAAGGAAAAGACAAGAATTGTAAATATAAAATACTTTTGTACTGCCAATACAGTGGATGCGAGTAGAATTTCTCTAAATATAGATGAGGAAAGTGGCTTTGAGGAAAGCGTAGAGTTGGTAAGGCATGGAGTTAATGCATTTGTTGGGTCAGTTGACCAAGGTCACGATGGTAACATCGAGCTGGAGTGGATTAGTGAAGTTTGCCATTAGTTATGAATCTGACTTTCCCGATACAGAGGATGTGAGTGGAATGTCTATGTAGGTGATTTGTGGCGATTTGGAAGAGGGTAGTTCTCAAGTGGATATGTGTGCTGGGTTGGGTGGCTGAGGTCATGGTGGTGACTTCAAGAGCATACTGAACATCGACAGTTGGCCTGTGACCACATTATGTTCCAATCATTTATGAGCATCTTTCTTAAAAGCAAATTGTAGAGGTCCATAAGCTCATATTTTGTTTATGTTTTTTTTCTCTGGTGGCAATGTTCAAGATTGACTTATTTTATGTTCTTATTTTATTTTTTGAGGGGATTTTTTGTGGGCTGAATGTGATTCTCAGAGGTTGAGGATGATTGTTTTTATTTTGGATTTTGCTTTCTTAGTGCTTACATTTGGCCAACATGTAGAATGAATCAGAAAGAGATCTAATTTGAGGCAGAGTGTAACATTAATAATGTTTGTTTTTTCTCATATTCTTTCATAATAAGTAAACCCTTATATCTTACTTTGCTTGAGGTGAAATGATTAAAAAATAAAATAAAAATTTCCTAAATTAAGAACATCAGTTTTCATTCAATTTTTGTAATATTCTGAATTCCATTACCAAAAGTTTACTTCTTTAAATAATAAAGGGACAATTTTTTTCCTAGCTTGTGATAAAAAGAAAATTGACCAGAGTTACTAGACAGGATAAATAATTTTTTTTTTGCTAACCCCCACCTCTG